CAGTTAAGAGCACTGGCTGCTCTTGCAGAGGACCTGGGTTCAGTTCCCAACACCCACATGGTGGTTAGCAACCATCTTTAACTCCAGTTCCAGGAAATCTAACATCCTCTTCTAACCTCCTTGGGTATTACATGACATAGGCATAGTTATATACATGCAGGCAATACACTTATACACATTAAATAAATAATAAATAATTTTTTAAAAATAAGCGGGAATATGGGGAGGAGCAAGGGAAAAACTGAGACAAGCATAGAACGCGCTTTAAAAAAATTATTACGTGTGTATGTGAGGGAGGGGGCATGGTATGTGTGTGGAGGTCAGCGTACAACCTTGTGGTGTTGGTTCTGGGGAACAAACTCACGTCTCAGGCTTGTGCTTTTGCCCTTTATCCGCTCAGCCATCTCACCAGCCCCTAGAGCATTGTTCTTTATGAACATACCCCAAATGGTGCAGATCCATAGTTTAAGGACAGAGTTTGGTGGTTTTGGAAACAAGGCTGAAAAGGAGATCACAATGACGTTAATGGGCCAGTGAGGAGACGTGGGTCTTCACACTGTTAGTCGGAGGGAGTTCAGAGGTGTCTGAGTAACGTTGGCCCTTCCAGTGATGTTCTGTGTGCGCGTTGCTGTAAAGTGCAGTCTCTTTAGCCAATTTCCTGAGCATCATTCTGCATTACTGTACTGGTGTCACCCACCATGAAATTTACCAGGTAAACTCTCAGTTCTTTTGGTTCACACAGAAGCAAAACCGCCATGATGCTCTCCTTGACCTGCAACAAAGTCAAGGCTCAAAGCAAAGGAAACACTGGGTCTTTTCCACATGACTGCTATGAATGTTCCAATGGAGGTTATAAGTTAACTGAACTTTTGCCAATGAGAATTAGCAAGGGGAGACTCACTGTATGAGCTGCTGTAGAAAAGGAGAAACTGCGTTCCTTGTATCCACCGTACTAATTCCTGATATCTAGATGCATACACACATGCACAAAATAGCAGACCTAAATAACAAATAAAATCTTGCCACAGCTGAAATTATTTTTTCATTAACCTTTGTTTGTTTTTGCATTTAGTTATTTATTTGGGGGAGGGGTGTGCCACAGCATGATTACAGAGTTCAGAGGGCAACTTTTGGAAGCCGGTTCTGTTCGTCCATCAAATGGAGGAATCAAATTCGGGTCCTGAGGCTTAGAGGCCAGCAGCTTTACCCCGAAGCCATCTTGCAGGTCCTCATCGCTTCTTTAACATGGTGCCTGCTGAGGGGCTGTTTGCTCACTTTTTAAAAATATTTTTATTGATAATTTTTTGTGTATGAGTGTATTTCCTGCATGTGTATATATGCACCCGTGTGTGCAATGCCCAAGGAGAGGAAAAGGTGCTGAATCCCTGGAAGGTTGTTGGTCGCCATGTGGGTGGGGGGTAGTCGAATCTGGGTCCTCTGTGAGAGCAGTCATTACTCTTAAACGCTGAGCCATCTCTCCAGTCACAACATTGCTCACTTTTTTCATCTCTCCATGAGAGTAACACATGCTGGAGGTTATTAACTAATTTTGACCCACCATTTTGGAGGTTTACTCCATGGTTGTTCAAGGGCCCAAAGCAAGGCCAGGCAAGCTTCCTGGTGGGGGCAGATGGAGGAACAAATCTAGTCACTTCTTGGATGGAACTTGGAAGAGAAAGAGAGAGACACCAATACACACCCACTCACCTACTGTTTGGTCATTCCTACTTCTTTAAGCTCCCAACAGTACTGAGCTGAGGACCAAGGCTTTGCACGTGGGCCTTTGGGGAAATTTAAGATCCACTGTGTAAGAATAAATGCTTTGGGGCTGGAGAGATGGCTCAGAGGTTAAAAGCACTGACTGCTCTTGCAGAGGACCTGGGTTCAATTCCCAGCACCCACATGGCAGCTATGAACCGTCCTAAAACTTCAGTTCCAGGGGAATCCGACGCCCTCTTCTGACCTCTGCAACATTGCACGCCACAGGTGCACTCACATACATGCAGGCAATACACTCATACACATAAAATAAAAATAATAAATAAAAAATTTTACAATGAATACATGCTTTGGGGGTTGGAGATACTGCTCAGCAAATAAAAGCACTGCTGCTCTTGCAGAGGACCTGGGTTCAATTCCCAGCACCCACATGGCAGCTAACAACTGTTTTTAATTCCAGTTCCAGGAGGAAAGAAGCCCTCTTCTGAGCTCCCTGACATTGCATGCATAGGTGCATTTATATACATGCAGGTAAAACAGTTGTACATGTAAAATAAAAATTTTTAAAAAGAATAACTTATCCTCATTCACAGTTTTGAATGAGATTTCATTCTCTTCATTAATCTCTCTGAGAAGCAATCTTGCCACACAGAGCCAGCACCTTAGAGAATCCTCTGCTGTGAATATCATGCTACCGTTGCTTCTCCCAGGGCAGAGCTCAAATGAACAGAGTGAGCTTTGCCATGGTGCCTGTGAACTCCACCGATCAGGGTCATCATCAACTAAAAAAGAAATGTGTTATTTGGTTGTTTGTGTTTTGAATGGGAATTGATGTTAAAGATTTTTTAAATAAATTATACCAAGCCAGTAAAAAGTTCAAAGAACAAAGAGTGTTAACATCTTGCCATAATGGTCTCTGATCTTCTAGAAAGAGCTGCTGCCCCTCTGGGACTCCTTCCAATTCATCTCCTTCCTTCTTTCCATTTCTCCAAGAAGAAATCACTTTCTTTTGAAGTCAGTATGTATCCTTCCTGTTAACCGCCCTACACTTTAACTTCATATGTGTATGTCCTTACCCACATCTTTTACTCATGAAATAATTCATAAATTATTAACTTTTTCTGCATAAGCTAGTTATACATTCTAAATAGTAATCAATCCCTTGTCAAGTACATGCCTTGGAAATACCATCTCAGTTTATCTTTTCATTTTTATGTTGTCTCCTGACATATTAAAGGTATTTCTAAAATTTAAATATGGTTTGATTTATCATTTCCTCAATGGAAATGCATTTTAATGTTTTGTTTAAGAAATCCTTCCCAGGCTGGAGTTGCAGCTTAATAGTAGTACACTTGTCTAGCATGCACAAGGCCCTGAGTTGGAGCCTTAATATCACAAGAAAATAAAACAAATAAAAAATTTTTTTTCTATATTCATGAACAATAATTTTAAAAAGTTATGTGTGGGTATGTGTGTGGAGATGACCAAAGAGACCAGAAGAGTGTGTCTGATTCCTTGGAACTGGAGTTACAGGTGGTTGTGAGGCACTTGATGTAGGTTCTGGGAACTGAACTTGGGTCCTCTGAAAGAGCAGCAAACACTCTTAACTGCTGAGCCATCTCTCCAACCCCATGATCAACATTTGTGAAGTTCTGATTTAAAAAAAAATATATATAT